TTCTTTAATTGGCTCAGCTCCATATCACTCTGTAGAGAAGTGGGATTTGATCTTAGATGGGGCTGGAGATCTGCCAGGATAAGACGGGTAAGGATGTTAAACAAATGGCCTGGCAACTCTCGAGTATCTTAAACATGGGAGAGAGTGGCGTAAATCTTTCGCATAAGAGCAAGAGAACACATTTACAAGCAGGGTTTTGGTTATTGTCGACATTAAAGCAGACTCATCCATGCTGAAATGCTTCAGTAGTCAATAGAATTACAGTTTCTGCCTTTCTGCTAAATTGACAGGGCTGAACTCTGCACATTTAATCATGCAGGTGCAGGTCTGCTGTCACTGATCACTGTGAATAAATCAATATTCATGGAGAATGATAGAGCCTGCCACAAATTAAGTCACAAAGAAAATTGCAATACAATTGTGCAATGGACATAACAGTGCAAGTAAGTTGCAGGAATAAACTATATTTAGTTCTTCCGTCTGCATTCATTTAATACAAATTTCTTATTAACAGTATGCATGCTTAAAGAGGTTATTATGCTGCCCTTTTAATTGACCTTGTCCATGCTCATTGGTTGGTGTTTTTTTTGCACTCCACATTACAGTTAACTTTCTTTAACTTTTGCATACAACAAGTACAGAACGGAATCTGAATTTAATTAAATGTGCAAAGCAAAGCAGGCAGAGGAGACCTCCAAGCATAAATAGAGTTTTAGGTGTCATTTAAAGGTGCAAGTGAGCATGAAATTCAAATGTAATACATCAGTGGGTACAGTGGTATGAGCAATACCCTGTACAATAGTGCAGTACCAGAAATTCATTTTTAATCCAATCAAATGTTTTTTTCCAGAAGTCAGCCAATGATTTAGTCTAGTAAACACCCGAGTTCATGATTTACAAAAAGCTCAAACTTAACTTTTCTCACTTATTCTGCCCAGCATCAATGAAAAAGTATAATTATATAAAACAGGAAAGAGCAAATAACACTAACCATACATTTTGACAGTTTAATTGACAAACACTATTACTTGTGTATTTACAATTGCTGCAACTTGATACACTATACAAGTTAACTATTGTATCACATTTGCTCATTTGCAGTTATTATAACACAACTCAACCAATAAGTCATGCTGTAAGCTATATTAGGTCATTAACCTGTTAAGTCCTGAGCCTGTTTTTCAGGCCTCAGACTCGAAAATGACATTCCCAGAACAAATGACTATATCTTCACTTCTAAAAGGGGTCAATTAATAATCTTTTTTCTCAAAGCAATGATAAACCTGTGAGTTGGATGTAGAAAAGTCAGAATCAATATAGATGTTTTTATTTTAAAGTAAATTCAGATTGAACATAGTAAAACAATGTAAATTATAGTTTCCGTCCAAAAAAAACCCCATTACTTATAGTGAAAACAGTCAAAAGAATCTGAAAGCAGTCTGTCATTTTGACAGATTAGAACAAACTTGGAACAGCGCCAAAGTTTCCCCGCAGCGAGCCTCCGGTGTTATGCCGTGTTATGCATGCCCGCCAAAAAGGAAATGATACCGTTTCCAAACCTAACTTTGCCGTACAAATCATTAAAATGTCTGCGAGTTTTTGCTCTACGCTGTGCGCGCTCCCGCGAGGTGCAGTGGACATGCATAACACGGCGCTAACAGTTCACGAGCGTGCGCCCCCCCCGGTTGACAGTTCACTAGCATGCTCTCTCTCCCCCCCTCGTCAGAGTTGTGTAAAGGCCGACGGGTAATACTGGATTTTGACATCTAAACATTACCATTGGTGAATGAGAGTGATGCGCAGCCAGCATGCCCAAAACCGGAAGCTCTCATACTCCGATTATTGCCATAAATATGATGATGGATTATCAGTAGGGCTGTCAGTCGATTAAAATATTTAATCGCGATTAATCGCATGATTGTCCATAGTTAATCGCGATTAATCGCAAATTAATCGCACATTTTTTATCTGTTCTAAATGTACCTTAGAGGGATATTTTTCAAGTTTTTAATACTCTTATCAACATATGAGTGGACAACTATGCTTTATATGTTTGTTTATTATCATTTGAACAATGACAAATATTCTCATGAATATTAAACACAACAACCTCTGAACATTACAAATATTCGCCTCAATTCAACCTAGAACCTCTCTCATACAATAGTGTGTGTGTGTGTGTGTGTGTGTGTGTGTGTGTGTGTGTGTGTGTGTGTGTGTGTGTGTGTGACAAATATTCTCATGAATATTAAACACAACAACCTCTGAACATTACAAATATTCGCCTCAATTCAACCTAGAACCTCTCTCATACAATAATACAAGTGTGTGTGTGTGTGTGTGTGTGTGTTGGAGCTATGTGCAGCTCAAGGCATATATGCCTGTGTGTATGAGCTGTGTTGCGCGCACTATCCGTGCTGAGTGTGCTGTCTGGCTACCTGCATAAAGTCAAGTGCTCAGCGCAGTTGTCGGCGAAATGTCGCTCCTCTGTTTTCATTGAAACAGCTCCTTATATCCGTTAGCTCAGCTAGCTAGCACCAGATGCTAACAACAACACGTAAGGTGTGCTTCGCTCGCGCCACACATACACACACCCTCCCAGTCCTCCCGATGGCCAGTCCGGGCCTGCCAGTGAGCGTGGAAGTGTGGTCTGCCACAAGCGGGCAGCAGGAGCGGGGCTGTCAGCATCAGCTTGTAGATGGTATTTTAAACTCGATGCGCTCTGAAACTACAGGACAAAAAATACACATGCGTTAATCGCGTTAAAATAATTAGTGGCGTTAATTTCTTTTTGCGTTAACGCGTTATTAACGCGTTAACTTGACAGCCCTAATTATCAGTAATCATTTCAAAGTGACACTGGATATTGGATGCAACGTTTATATGCGTTTTAATGCCATTGAACCCAACTTTTGATCAGAAAACAGCAAAGGTAAGACGTATTTGACGTTTTGGCCCCGTAAAGTGAAGTTGGGTGTTGTAAGTATCATCACTGTGCGACCAGAACTCACGGCAGCGAAGGCAAGCCTTTGCTGTTACAGTAAAAGTACTGCATTCAAAATGTTACTCAAGTAAAAGTAGAAAAGTATTAGCATCAAAATATAGGTAAAGTACCAAAAGTATTCATTGTGCAGATTGGTACATTTCAGAATAATATATATGATATGTTGTATAATGATTGATCATGAAAGTGTTCTCAAAGCTGGTAAAGGTGCAGCTAGTTTGAATGACTTTGTATACTGCAGGGTAGCTTGTGGATTTACTCCAGGTGGAACTAAAGTCTGATTTAACACTTATTATATTTCACATCATTCATCCACATCTGTAAGGTATTAAAAAAATGTAGTGGAGTAAAAGTACACCATTTACCTCTGAGTTGTAGTGGAGTAGAAGTATCTCAAACGTGTACTTAAGTACAGTACTTGAGTCAATGTACTTAGTTACTTCCCACTTCTAATGAATGGGGTGGGGATCCCGAGTGAGAAGATGAACCACAGCGCCTCTGCGCATATATCCACACACACACACACACACCCACCCACCACACAGCTGCTGCGCTGCACTGTCAGTCAGGAGGAAGTGAACTGGATCTAACTGCTGGCTCCGGACTCTGTATTCTCTCTGGTTGACGTGTTTTTTTTTTGTAAAGGATATTTTGCGTTTTTCCTCGGTGTATTGATTTATTTCTGGATTTCTCATCAAAGAAAATAGTCCCTCGTGACTGCACAGTGATGTGCACTGGACAGAGGAGCTATCAGGTGAGTGTCCTCAAATAACATTAAACTCACTTTCTAACACTTATTTATATTGCTGCAATTTAACCTAAAGAAGGTTATACATATCACAGTTTTATCTAATCAATATATTCTCAAAACATATTTTTTATATCATCCTATGACTCCTGGATGGACAACAAATATTTCAGAAAAATGTGTGACATTCATCATTTTGTCAAAAAGCTGTCTATCAGCTGCCCTTTGTGTTATCTTACATTGTGCATTTTCTTGTTTTTATTTATTTTCTGACCTACACTGCTCTCACATGTGTATTTTATAGACTACAGTTCTTTTTCTAATCCCATATTACAGTTTGAAAGGTTATCTCCTGCATATTGATGAGTTTGTTTCACTCTCACCTTGGCATTTTGTTAAAAGTGAGAAAAAGGAGCCATACTTTAAAGAAAGTTTTTATTATGATAATGATTAACTTCTCTTCTGAGGAGGAAGGTGTCTGAAAGGGAAGCTGGTGAGAGTTAACTGAGTGTTAGATGATATCGCTGGGAAATCAACATAAAAATGATCAAAAGCATATAAATAGCTGTCTGAAATCAAAGATTTTGAAGTATTTTTAGACTTGATAGGCAGCTAAATATAAAACAGAGACATTCCTGGCATGACTTGACATGTTCTCTATATCACCTTGTTGCCTCTATATCTTTTTATATCTTTCTGTCTTTTTCTATTTCAGGTTTTGTCCAATCAGCCAAGAAGACATGCCCCCTCCCTCCCTGGAAAAAACAGTCGTGCCCCCTTTCTCTTCCGACATCTCATTTAGCTAGAATGCAAACTTTGGGATATTTGCCCTTTTTGTGTTAAACAGGGCTTTGTTTTCAGAAAACTGAGATAAATAATGAACGATAATGCCGGGGTGAGAGTTGAAAAGTTGTCCAAGGATGAAACGTCAGCCATTAACGCCCAGACCAAAGCCATGTTTGGATAGGGTTGCATCTAAAAAAGTTGTAATGCCAATGTTAGGAGAGCGAGCCAAAAACTTCAGGGTCATCTGGAGAGAAAGTTGAACCTGGCTCAACTTCTGCTGCAACGCCACGTCATTCTGTCAAATAGCATCTTTGAGTATCACTACTACTCTGTTTTGGCATCTAATAAGTCGTTAAATTCACAGATTCATTACTCAAACTGGACTTTCTGGATTATATTTCATGTCTCAAGCAAAGAAAAAAACGCAAACCCCCTGCATTGTTGGTTGATTCCCGTCCTCCAATGGGGGCCTCTCACAGGTGCAGGTCATCCATAAAACCTGATTCCTGTAGCTCTCGATCGTTTGTGGGAACGTTGTGGCTCCTCTCTGGGATTATGACTGCATACGCTTGCCCTAAGATCTGCCACTGCACAGATAGGAACGGCGTGGTGGTGCAGTGCACTTCACAAAACTTGGAGAACATCCCGCTGAACTTGCCCAAGGACACCGTTGTTCTCCTGCTTTCATCCAACCGGATCAGACACATCCCAAAGGAGACCTTCACTGAGCTGCACCGCCTCAGGGAACTGGACTTATCTCACAACGCCATCGAGAGCGTGGAGGTCGGAGCCTTTCAAGGGATATCGGATAGCCTGCGGACTTTGGATCTTTCAAACAACCACCTCAGCAGCCTCCCCAAGGACACCTTCGCAAAACTCCACGCCCGTGTCCGGTTGTCCCACAACCCCTGGCACTGTGAGTGCTCTCTGCAGGAGGTGCTGAGTGAGCTGAGGCTCGACCCGGAGACGGTGAACGAGGTCAGCTGCTCCACCTCGGTGCAGGAGGAGTACGTGGGGCGGCCGGTGATCCAGGTCCTGGACTCTGGCATCAACTTTTGCAACTTCCACCACAAGACAACAGACGTGGCCATGTTTGTGGCCATGTTCTGCTGGTTCTCCATGGTCACGGCTTACATCGTTTACTACATCAAACACAACCAGGAGGACGCCAGGAGGCACATGGAGTACCTCAAGTCCCTGCCCAGCACTTCTCACGTCAGCAAGGACTACGACACAGCCAGCAGCATGTTTTAGTGAGAAAGGATGGATCAATGAATGTGTTCAAAGCATAAAAGAGCAGATGTGCAGTGATAAAACTGCGCTCTGGGATATACAATGCGCAAGGACATAGGAAGAGATTTTAAAATCATCAAGTACAAGCTAAAAGTAGTCTTTAAAGCCACAAAAGAAAACCAAAATAAATTACGCTTCTTAAGAATTAACCTGAAATCAGTGAAGAGTAGGAAAACAGCTGACTAATGAAGTTGCTAAGCTGTTTTACCAATTAATATATTCATTACTGAAGCTTTCTTAATTCAAGTAAGGCTTGTATCTTGGAGCTGCAGCCCTTTATTGGTCTGCCACATAACTCACAGTTCAATAAGTCACATACAGTAAAGCTGCCTCCAATACTTCTTATTACAACACAGTGCTGCATTTGTGTTTCTCTTTCCTCAATAGACAATAAATGCAACATTTATCAGAATACTGCTCCTTCTTGCCTTGAGGAAAAGAAGACATGGTAGCCCTCAGTTAAATGAGGAATCTGTGTTCATTCAATTGGAAAGAGATTTATGTTGTTTTAAAGTGGACCTATCATGCTATATTTGAATAATATATTGTAGGGCCATACCTATATAAGGTATATTTATACGTTTTCTTTTTCAAAATACCAAACAGATCATGCATTTTAGCCATGCCTCGTTTCGCTCTATTTTGCTCTCCTCCACCCTGTCTTTGCATGCGCTGCAGCTGACCACGCCCCCCTGCAAAGGAGGGGGCCGAGTTACGAGCATCGTGTTACCATGCTGTTACCATGCCACGGCAACCTCTCATTCCCCTGATAGGTCAGCTCCTCCGTCCTGACGTCAGAGAAATGTTCAAATCTGGATCAGTCTGTATCAGATCCATTGCAGCCCCGTTTTTAGAGATTTGGGTATGGAGGAAAATAGAGAGGGTTGTGTTTTCTGACACTTGGTGAGTTCCCTGGAACACCGGGGACACATTCATGTATAAAAGACGTACAAAAGTGCATTTTGCACGATAGGTCCCCTTTAAGTAAATACACTGCACATTTACAGAACTTTACAACTTTTCACATAATCTTTTATTACCTCCTGTGCAGCCTCACAATAAGATCCTGTTATATTTTCCTCAAGATTACATTGATAAATAGGCTCAGCTCCAAATATGGAACTCGTATATCTTCATCTGCATAGATCTGGATGAGGCAGGATATTAATAAGCGTCCTGCACCCCAAAAATAGTCTCATCCGACTAACAGTTCAAATCCATAAATCTAATGATCATGGCATTTTGGGAGGCTGCTGATTTACAGTAGGAAGACACGACAGGATCCATTCATTTCAGGTCTCATACACATTTTCTGTAAAATAAAAAGGGTCTTTTCAAACACATTCCTTTTAAATGGATTTTCGTGAAGTAGGTAACTATAAACCTGCAAATGAACAGCCATTCATTTGTGTCACATTGGCATGCAAATCACAACCACCTATGAGCTAATAATATTCAAAAGTTCAACATTTGTGAAGTTCGATGTTTCAATAGTGACAGACTTTAGGGTTAACCCTAACCCCTAACCCTAACCCAACCCTAACCCTAACCCAGACTTTTAACTTATTAAACAGTTGGGGATCAAATAAGTCTGCTCACACTGAATTGTGGAGACAAACAAGCTCAGCGTTTTCTTTGCAAATGTGAGCGTTCCTGGGAGCCTGCCTTTATCCTGCTGCTGGTACAATTTTAGAGGAGAGAGCTACACATCTCACGCTGCGGCTCAACGAGCTCCCGCTGAAGCCGGATATCACCCGGGTCAGAGACAGGGGAAAAGAAACATGATTTTTTACATAGAAGTAAAAAGCCTCCGTTGAATATTTTCCATTGGAAAGCTGCTCATGCAACTCAGAAAGTGGACCCTTATTCGACAGGCCTTGAACCTTTTGGTGAATCAGAAGCTGCAATTGAGTCGTCTTTTGCATAGGATGGTTTCTTACGGAGTAAAATTACCCCAGAAGTTAAATAACTTAGGGTGCTTTAATGCTTCCTTTCTTATCTCCTTCAGTATTGAGTACACTGGGTCAATTATTTGTGGCTACAACATTTAAACTGACCATTCAGATATCAATAACCTCTGCCATGGCAGTTTAATCAAAACCCGAGGGCACCGAGCCTTCGCAGCAGCTGGCCCTAGGCTCTGGAACACTCTGCCCCTCCATGTGAGGTCGGCCCAGACCCTAGGGTTTTTTAAATCTACACTAAAAACACACTTCTTCTCTCTGGCCTTCTAGTTAGAGCGGAGTACGACTCCTGACTTTTCCTTGTGTTTTATTTTTTATATATATCTGTTGTAATTTATTGTCTTTTTTTGTGATTGTAGTAATGTGTTTTTATTACATGTACAGCACTTTGGCTCGACCAAAAATCGCTTTTAAATGTGCTTTATAAATAAAACTTGATTTGATTTGACACAATGAATCAAATAAAAAACATCCTTGATACAGATGTAATTGAGTCCCAGACAGGAATCCAACATTTAATTTGATAGCATTGTGTCACATTTTCTACTTGTTATTATGTTTGAAAACCATCCACTCTTGCTTTGTATAATCCCCATGTAGCACAATGGTTGTCTTTTTTTCTCATGTATTCTCCTTGGCATATTTGACCTTTAACCTTTGAACTTTTCCACTGAGATCAAGGATGGTAAAAGACAAAAGGTTCATCCTAATTGCTTATTTGGCCTCCTCGTTACGAAGATAAGTGAGAGACGGGAGGAAGAGAAGCGAGGACAGAGGAGTCCTCAGGTATGAGTTGGGATGTCCTCGTTCACTCCAGCGTCCCTTTTAAACGATGCCCTTTACTGCATGTGCACAGTCTATCACCTGTCACTGGACTTTACTCCAAATAAATCCCTTCAAACATGTGATTTAGTTTGCCCATTTTTATTGAAATGAATTCGTCCATATCTTCAATCCATCAGTTTTTATTAGAGTTTTGAGTGTTTTATTTTTGGTCCTGTATTAGTTTTTTGAGGTATAAAATGTAATGTAAAGGTCCCATGACATGGCCATTTCTACTGATCATAATTCCACTGTTGAGGTCTACTAGAATAGATTTACATTGTGCAATTTTCCAAACTCACATTGGTTTTCTCACACAGCACCTCTGTATAGTATGTGTATTCACTGAATTTCACTCTGTCCTTGTTGGAGCTCCTGCCCCCCCCTCCCTGTGAGCCCAGTGTGCTCTGATTGGTCAGCTCGCCCACTGGCTCGCTGCTGCGAGGAGCTGACAGTGTGAGCTGGCTTACTGGTGTGGTTTCCTGCTTGCTGCGAGACAGCGAGACATCACGAATGGACGCGGGAGGGGGGGGTGCCTAGGGGGCTGCAGCAGCCCCATCAGCGAGGCTCCACTAGCACCCGCATCCCCCCCCCGCACCCCCATATGCGAACCATAAAACAATAAAACATGAACAGTGATACCACTCAAATTACCACTGCATGTTCTTTAGACCAATAAGACCAGAGACAGCAGCTTGTCTCTCCACAGACTGGTCACAGGCTAACACCTGGTGGTGAGTTTGTGAAACTGCAATGGCATTGACATTTTTTTTATGTAAACAGGAAGTAGCAAGAAGAAACTATATCATTTTAGAGTTTATTCACTTGATTAAAAGTCAGATCAGTTGTACAAACATGTCTTGTCGGTGGTAACTGCAGGGGTCTTTTTTGGACTCAATGCCAAAGAAGCCATAGGTGAGAGCTGTTAGAAATTAAAATTCAATGTTTTATGGCATGATTTAGTCTAAAACATACCGTCAGTTTAAAAGCAGTCAGATGAAGAACTCATTACTTTTAGTATTGTGTTCACACCTTAAATGGTGTGAAAGGAGGGATTGTTAGAAATTAAAATCAATGTTAAACAGCATAATTCAGTCTAAAACATATCGTCAGTTTAAAGCTGTTTTATTGTGGAAAAGCCCGGAAGTTCTCAGGAAATCAATGCCAAGCTTTTATTCTGAAAAATCCTTTATCCGGTTAGCTTGTGACTAATGTTGCGTTTTCTGAATGTAAAGTGAAAATGACTTGGAGTGTTACACACAAACGTACGGACTTTAACACTACATCGATAGACGTTAAGATATTATTACTGCTGAATATTAAATGAAGGTCTAGTTGATCGTAGTGTTTACAGATACGTGAGAAGCTATGACGTCAGAGGGAATTTCCGTAAAATAAGAACTGTGCCGGAGCGGAACCACTAGGACTTCTAAACTAAGTATTACAGCTGTTTATAAGGTATTAAATAGAAAGTCATGACAGAGATAATGAGGAGAAAATGCTTAAGGAAGTAGGCAGAGAATATCAATGTCGAAATCATCTGTGCTCTCGCGATATCGAACCGGCAAATGAGTAGGGGGCCACCCACTATTTGCACAGCGGGGGACAACGAGACGTGGATAAAAAGGCAGGACGAAAGATAACGCACTCTCTTCCCTTCGCTGCAGCCTCCCTCAAGACAACACCGGCTTTGTCTCTCCATTCACCATGCTTGTTCTTTAACCACGTTACTTAATTAAACTACCCATTTGAACCTTTTCAGAGACTCCATTAGTCTCGTTATTTTAAGTTTCTTTCCTGGGAGCGAGAAGATCACAAATTATCAACAGAGCCATGAACCATGCTAGCGCAGCTGGGGGAAAGAGTGTAGCCTGGGGTGTGGAAAAGCCAAGTGAGGGTCACCGTGAGGGTTTGGACTGGGAAACCTATGGTGGTGTCTGTTTTCGAGGACGGCCTCCACAATTACTCTGGTTTCTCTTCAAAGCATATAAGTCTTTCGCCTTTTACTAAAGACTTCCGTGGAGAGGAACACCTATTTTTGGTAGGCTTGGCCGTTTGGCTGAGCATTCTGAGTTTGTGAAAGGCAGGAAAAGAGCAGTCATTCGCACCTGGGCGATCCAAGTTACGCAGCGCCTCTGTTATGCCAGGTCAAAAGAGCCGCACCAAGACCGGTGG